CGCACCATCCCCACCCCATCGTCATGCCTCCCAGAATGATTCCATGACTCATTTTGTTAAAGAAATCAATGTCTTCCCTCTGGAAAGAAAGATGGCAGCCGCCTCGGAGCTTTTTGGAAAGCCAGATATGAGCCGGTCGTGACGGGGCAACTGAAACCTCATGGGAAGGAGGCATTCCCGGCTTGTCCTTCATGCCCTACTGAGGTCACAAGTTGTCCCCCACGAGCGGCTCTCCGGCATGGCCATGGCTCCAGAAGCACAAGGACTTAATGCAGAGCCCAACAGCTTGCGGCAGAAAAGTGAATGGACTATGCGTTAATCCATGCTACCATGCCTGCCCGGAGAGGAAAGGGTGTTGCTTCCTTCCGCCTTTTTCCCTCTGGATAGCAAGATGGTGGCCGCCTCAGAGCTTTCTGGAAAGCCAGGTATGAGCCGATCATGACGGGGCAACTGAAACCTCATGGGAAGGGGGGCATTCCCGGCTTGTCCTTCACGCCCTACCGAGGTCACAAATTGCCCCCCATGAGCGGCTCTCTGGCACAGCCATGGCTCCAGAGCCACAGAAACCAATCTCATAAGTATCTGACTCTCAGGAGAAATACTTCCAGGCTTAATAACTAAAATATCAGAAATCCAAAATCACGCGGCTGCTATTGTGGCCGTGCGACATCATTTGGTTTCTGTAACCAGCTGTAGAAAACAAATTATTTCACAATGCCTTTTCAGCATGTCTGATTTTGGGGGGGGTAAACTCTAAATAATAATGGTGCATCTTTTGTCGAAACAATGAATCTAATCAAAGTAGATAGAGTGTTAACTAGAATTCATCTGCCTCACAGGCATTGGGAGGGTTGGGAGGGGGAGTTTATTGGGGTTCTTGGTGGTGAAATATAAGTATTGGCGAAGGGAAATGTGTTTGATGATTGCATGACGGAGACTTAAACCTGAAAGCTTTGTAACTTTTCCCACAGTGATTCAATAAAAAAAAAAAATCACCGACAAAAAAAAAAAGAAATCAATGTCTAGGTATCAGTTTTTACATCATCTGTGAGATATCGGAGACAGAATCTGCAGCTCTTTAGGAGCTGCCCCAGTGAGTTCTTCAAATCGAGGCAGAAGCTCTGCTTGGGCCAAGGTTACCGGACAGAGCATATCCATCCCCGACTTGGCAAGACGAATCTCGAGCTCTGATTCATCTGATGGGCAACATGGGTTCCAACAAACCTAATAAGCATTTGTAACAAATCAGGACTTCGGGGGTAGAAGTCCTATACAGACTGTGCTTTGTGTGTGTGTGTGTGTGTGTGTGTGTGTGTGTGTGTGTGTGTGTGTGTGTATGTGTGTGTGTGTAAAGAAGAACAAGGGAGAAATTCCATTCTTCAGGCATCGGAGGTGCAGAGAGGAGAGAGAGGGTTCCAATCCGGTGTGAGTGGATCAGAACAAAACTTCATCTGAAGTTAAGCAACATTTCCGGTAGGGCTGGGGGAGCATCAGCCGGCTCCGTCTCCAGAACTGTGGCTCTGTGAACGGCCAGGAGGGAAATACGGTAGGGTGGGACGAGCTTCGTGGGCCCACCTGGAAGGCAACAGCTTGCCGTGTCTGAGTCCTTGGGAGACAGGCCTGGGAGGGGATGGTGGAGTGGGAGGGAGAGACGCAGAGCTCCCAAGAAAGGGTAAGGCCCTGGGGAAGCTCCCAAGACACCAAGTGCCTAGGGGCAGCTGGGCCAGGGGCAACCTTGCTGGTAAGCCCCAGAGCACGGGGCCTGAGGTCAAACTTCTTTCTGGTCAGTGTGATAAAAGTGTCGGGGAAAGAACACATTTGACTGCTTCTAAGGGTTGCCCCAAGCTAGGAATGAACACAACACATTGTGTTCACTTTTTTCACTGGCTCTCACACAGATTTCTAAGATTGAAAGAGCAAATTGCATTTTCCCTGGGGTAGCCTAAGGAACTGTTGTCCACCCCCTGACCTTTCTCCCCTCACACTCTTCCCTGTGCCACATCTAGGACACTGAAGGAACAAAGATCCACTTTTAATGTGCGAATGGGGCGGGGGGGGGGGGGGCAACGTGGAGGGCACGTGGAGCCCCCTGCTCCCCACCATTCATGGCCTGTGCAAAGAGCGCAAGCTGAGAAGCAGATGAAAAAAGCTCCTCCCTATTTGGAGTCAACCCAAACTCACCTGCCAGCCAAGCCGAGGACACCTTGACTCCAAAGTGTCAACCTGGTACAGGGGACTGGGGTGTAAGATGACCCTCACGAGCAGTCCCCTGCAGCAGCATATGACAAGTTGGCAGAATGCTCTTTGGGTCTAAAGATGCTATTGTTTCCTAGACAACTGTCCACAGGTAACTGAGAAGCAACTGCCTCCTTCTTCCCTCCCTCCCTCCCTCCCTCCCTCCCTCCCTCCCTCCCTCCTTCCCTCCTTCCCTCCTTCCCTCCCTTCTTCCCTCCTTCTTTCTTTCCTTTTTTACTTCCTTCTCTTCCTCCTTTCCTCCCTTCCTCCACATCCACTTCCAATCCTCTCCTCTGTTTCCTTTCCCTTTTCTTCCTCTTCCTCCTCCACAAACACAAGCACTGATTTCTCTGCCGTCCAGCCCCTTCTTCCTGCTCACCAACACCCCCTATTCAGTGAGCGAGTGTAGAGCTTTAGTTGCTCTCTCAACTCTTGGTACCACAGATTAAGGGAAACAGAAATGAACAGAGAGATTAACCCTTCCAATTCAAGAAACCTCGAGCACTCGATGGTTCAAACAGAATGACAATTCTCAAACACTCCAAAATCTTTCACATTAAGGTTCACTTTTCTTTTTTTTTTAAAGTCTGTTGCCTTGACTGCGAATGTGTCTCAGTCAAGCAGTTGGCTTGCATATGAAGTTCTGCATTTGATCCCCAGCACCACATATACAAAAGCATCAGCTGACATCTTCCCTTACTCGGTAGGTCTCCCGCAGGCTACTCCTTTCTGTGGTGCTCTGTTCTCTAACTTCTTTCTTATCAAGCCTAATAGCTCTCCTCTATCAAGTCCCAGGCCCACAGCACACAGGCTCCTGGGGTGCTGATAGAAGTCTGGACTCCTCTGTATCGGGACCCAGCACACAGGAAGCTGATGTGTTGTTTGAATATTATAACCAGACTTACATATGTCAATTTTTCTTTAGAAAGGACATCGCAAAAAGGCAAAGCAGACAAGAAAACATTGCACAGGTAGTCCTTGTCTTTCTTTAAGCAACACATTTAAGTAATTTTTTTTTCTCTAACATGCAGTATTAAAGAGTTATTAGAAAGGGGCTAGAGCAACAGTATAGCACTTGCCTTACATGTGGTCAACCCAGGTTTGATACCTGACATCCCATATGGTTCTCCCAAGCACCATCAGAAATGATGCCTGAGCACAGAGCCAGGAGTAAGCCCTGAGCACCACCAGGTGTGGCCCCCAAAAAAGCAAAAATAAAACAATGCTATAAATAAAATAGATTTAATAGAATTGGAGCCAGAGCAATAGTCCTGTGGGGAGGGCACTTACCTTTCACATGGCTGATCTTGGTTCAATCCCCAGCACCCCAGATGTTCCCCAAACACTGCCAGGAGTGATCCCTGAGCACAGAGCCAGGTGTCAGCCCTGTGCCCCCTCCATAATAGATTTATTAGAATGAAGCCCTGAATCTTCCATAAGTATACTCAGAGAGGTCAAGACTTTATATTACAAAGAAGAATTGATAACACCATCCCCTTGAAGTGAGATGTTAGAGTTTGTGTTTTTCTGAGTTCTAAGAAAGTCAGCACCACCACCTATGTCAGAAGCTTCCCAGCCTGTCAATCTCCACATCTCCCTTGAAACAACAGCCAAGGAAGAGCTGGGCAGGTAGATACCATCCTCTGAGGAGAAAGTTGCTCCTGTCAAACCACAGATACCTTAATGACCCATCATAAGTACCTCATGACTTGCTCTAACATGTGACGATCACACAGTTTCAGTGTGAATGACTTTTCCAAACTTTTCCATCAATATAAATAATGTCAGAGAACTAGTGTCTGCAGAAGCAGGTAAAAATTTGGAGGAGAGGATGAAACATAGCAACCTTTACATGTCTAACACTGTCTTAGGCATTAAAAAAATGTTACCCCATGTATACAGTTTTGTCTGTCTCTGAGTAGTCTACTTTTCTGAAGGTGGTTTGTATAGGGTAAGGTAACAAAAATATGGATACAAGAAAACAGGAATTTCTAGTTTAAATCAAAGAAGAGGAATCAGGACTCAACACTTCAACCTCTGATACGATCTCCAAGACTCGGAGAGTGATCAAGATCGGCTCTGCATTCACTGTGACTAAGGCAGTAACCACGCAAAAGGTGATTTGGTTGAGTTATTCTCAACAATCTAGGTCACAGAGATGAAAAGAAGAAAGTCGAGTCACCAGGACACTTTTCATATGAAAGGAAGGATGAAGCTTGTTGAAATGAGTAGCATAACCCACCCCCCATCTCCCCTGAAGTTCCTCTAAAACAGGCACATCTTGATTGCATTACGATGAACTACAGCCCTGTCATTTTTTATGACAAGGAAAGGGCACAAGAATCAAGAAACAATAGAACTGGAGGAATTTACATTCAACACTGAGCTTCCCATCGGAAATTGCTCTGCCCACTTGCAAATGTTGCCTTCGGTCTTTTGAGAATAAATGCACTTTCATTCTGTTTGTAATTAATCTTCTCTGTATTGTAATTCTCAAAGAGCCACCCCACCTCTCAGTTGCTCTCTACCAGATGATAAATGACCAGCAGATGAAATGGCTTGGCTGACTTTTAAGATAGTTTCACAAGAAGGAAAGATTTTAAGGGTACCACTGCTTATTCCAGGGCCGGATGAAATCCTTCATCAGATGGGAAGGACTCTGGCCACTACTTAGTGCCAACAGTGTCAGGGACAAGAACAACTGTTGGGCACATAAAGGGATGAGGGTGTGGGTGGTAGTCTTCTATCATGACTTGGGTACTTACGGGGCAGTGAGGTACCCTTCCAAAGCGCCAGCCACAAACATGGTGATCTCATCCGTCAAGTCCTGGGAGCCGTAGCCTGCTTTGATTTCCAGGACGCCCCAGCCAGTGGTGAGCACAGAGTCATTGTAATAGCCGTAGGCATCCCCCTTCTTGTCCAGTGTGGATTTGATTTCTACTGTCTGTTCATCAGGCATCCAGTAGGCAGTGGCATAGTAGACTTCTGGAGAAGGAAAGGAAACAATGACAGAATGCACTGAAGTGAGTTACTAATGCGTTTTTGTTCACGATGCAACCAACAATCCCAATGCCTTTGCTTTAAAAGAGTTCCATCTTAGAGCATTTAGAAATCTGCCTGATAGTTTGTTCTTGCTACAAGTGTGGTGGTGGGGTGCTGGGAAGGGAAATAGAGGCTAATCAAGGAAGGTGAGCCTGGAGCACAGGGAAACAGGTGAGATCTTGGAGCACACAGAGAGTAGCCTGAGACCCCCACCTCAGAGAGGATGTACTGGCCCCATTTCTTTTGACTCAGCATTCACATCCCCTGGAACCATTCTCCTCAGGCATTGGGCCAAAGCATCTGTTTGCTCCAGCTTCTTATCCTTTCCCTCCTGCCTTACTCATGACTCAAGATTCCTTCACATGACACGCCTGCTCTAAGAAGAACAAGAACCCGTCACCTGTCACCATTTCAAGTTCCCGACAACTTGGACTTCACCCTTCCACACCCTCACATGACCATCTCTTCCCTTCTTCTAGTCCCCTTGGGATCTGAACCCTTCTTCCTCTCCCTGGGGTGCCTGTTTGAGTCTGCATCATCCTGTCCCTGTATCCTCCTGTCCTCTCTCTGCCCTGGTCCTCCAACCTACGTCCCTCCCACTGCAGAAACACCCTCCATCGCCTCACAACTGAATGCCAACTGCCCAGAGAAGCCCACCCTGGGTCCCAAACTTTTGCCTCATCTTTCATTTCCCTTCATGAAATTGCTACAAACTGTGGAACAGAATCCCCAGATATGGGACCATCCTGGGTATAGGCACTATTGTCATAGGGGACAGGTGGGTCTCGAGGACCCTCTCTTCACTTCTAGTCTTCGATCCACCCTCCCTCCCTCCCTCCCTCCCTCCCTCCCTCCCTCCCGCGCTCCCTCCCTCCCTTCCGCCCTCCCTCCCTTCCTCCCTCACCAAGCCCTGTCATCCCTTCCCGCACCTCTCTAACTTGCTCACTGAGGAATTCCTTGAGTCTAAAAAGCATATGGACTCCTGAAAGCACAACACCCTATTACCCATTTACTTTCTCTGGCTGGTAGGAGCAGTGTTTGTAGGCATTGGGACCTGGGGCACTCCAACAATACTCAGCCCTGCGTTGTAGGTTAGATCGTTCCATGCTGGGGTCCAGTGATACTGTGGGCCACTAGGTCACCCCACTGGTGATGGAGGGGAAGGCGTGCACCTCTAGGGTATGGTCTTGGGGTACCAGGCATCCATGCAGGTGTTCTGACCTTTCAAGCTCTCTCACCGGCTTTGGTCATTGGGTTTTGTTGGGTTTTGTTGTTGTTGTTGTTGTTTTGGGGACACATCCAGTGATGCTCAGGGGTTACTCCTGGCAGAGCTCAGGGGGCCATATAGGGTGCTAGGGATTGAATCCGGGTTGGCCACATGCAAGGTAAATACCCTACAAGGCAAATACTGTACTGTCTCTCCGTCCCCATTGGTTCTTTTTCTTTTTCTTTTTTTTTACTTTTTGGGTCACACTGGCATTGAACAGAGGTTACTCCTGGCTCTATACTCAGGAATTACTCCTAGCGGTGCTCGGAAGACCATATGGGATGCTGGGAATGGAACCCGGGTCGGCCGTGTGCAAAGCAAACGCCCTACCTACTGTGCTATTTCTCCAGCCCCCCATTGGTTCTTAAACTTCTTTCCTTTCATGGCATCTGGGGCAGACACTGAGAAATCTCCTTTTCTGCCTGTTTCCTCCCTCCCCATTCCCTTTGGGAGTCCTTTGTTTTGCTTTGGGGCCACCCTCAGCTCTGTGCCTGGGTTCTAAGCTGGGGCTCCCACACGCTTTGCATATGCACTAGCTCTCTGAGTCATCTGCCCACCCTTTGAGTTATAATTAATTTTTGTTTGTTTGCTTTGGGGGCCACACCTGGCAGTGCTAAGGGCTTATTCCTGGTTCTGTGCTCAGGAATCACTCCTGGTGGACTTGGGGAGCCATATGTGGTACCAGGGATCAAACCCGGGTTGGCCACATACAATTATCTTATCTGCTGTGCCACCGCTCTGGCCCCAGCTGGGAGTTAGTTTTTATGTGTCCAACCACATTAATTTATAACACCAACGGATGATTCCATAGACACTAGAAACCCAAACTCTCTGAAACAAAACCCCCCTTCTAGTTCCACCCATTCTCCAGTATCTGCTTTCTATTCCTGATAGTTGAGCTGGAAACCCAAGTCCATCTGGCTCTCACTCCCACATGAACTCATGCTTGAGCAAAACCTCCCAAATATCTCTCCTGCCAGTCACTACCTCCTTAGCCCCGCCTTTGTATGCTAGTTTAGGGATCACAACTAACTTTAGCCATCAGAGGCCTTCTCAAGAGTCCTCAATCCATTATTCATACTCTGACAGAGTTGTCTATCTAAAATGCAAAATAGTCTCTATCCCTTCCTTATGATGGAGCAGGTGAGCAGGGAGAACAAGCCAGGTAAAGGGGATTAATTGGAAGGTGGTGTGTTGAAACAAGACATTTGGGGGTGAGAACAGCGCCTCTTACACATGGTAGTCTTGCAGCCCCTTTTCACCTGAGCAACTTTTACATGAACTCTGGAGATGGAAAATTAAATATAAACACTTGCTGATAATAAGTCATGGAGAAATTTGTTTTAAAGTGTTATGCAATTCTGGGGGCCAGAGATATATCATATAGCATTTTGGTGGTGCCTCCCCCCAAAGAAAATTTATGTAATCCCATGTGACATCTCAAACCCTGTTTTTGAAGCTAGGATCTATACAGATATGGGGTTAAGATGCTGGACACCTACTACCTATATTTCTAAAATGCTAATATTACAATGCACTGTAGCACTATCCTCTGGTTGTTCATCAATTTGCTCGAGCAGGTACCAGTAAGGTCTCCATTGTGGGACTTGTTGTTACTGTTTTTGGCAAATAAAATAAGCCACGGGGAGTTTGCCAGGCTCTGCCGTGGAGGCAGGATACTCTCAGTAGCTTGCTGGGCGGCAGGATATTCTCAGTAGCTTGCTGAGCTCTCTGAGAGGGACGCAGGTATTGAACCTGGGTCGGCCTTATACAAAGAAAATGCCCTACCCGCTGTGCTATCATTCCAGCCCATTATTACAATTAAATTAAATTAATTAAAGGCCCTCCCGTTGATCATCGATTTGCTCGAGCGGGTCCAGTAACGTCTCCATTGGAGACTTTGTTGTTACTGTGTTTGGCATATCGAATACGTCACGGGGAGCTTGCCAGGCCCTGCCGTGGGGGTGAGATACTCTCGGCAGCTTGCCGGGTTCTCCGAGAGGAGCAGAGGAATCGAACTCGGGTCGGCCATGTTGGCTGCGTGCAAGGCAAACGCCCTACCGCTGTGCTATCGCTTAGAAAATGAAAGTAGAACTAATTTGTTTAGCTTACTATGAAACATCTCCAGTGGGGTCTATTTCCTAGAAATAAGTTCTTTAGTTGTGTGCTTGGCTTTCTGACCTGGTTTCTGTCTACCTATTCAGTTTCACCCACCACCCATCCCCTCTGTGACCCGGAAACCCTCACATACCACTCTCTCCTGCCTGCCAGGGACAGCTCTGACATCTCTGACTTTGCATATGCTGTACCTGTGACCTGAGATTTTCCTTCATTTAACTACCTAGTAATCTCAGAAGCAGGCAACAGCAGCTTCTTGGCAGCAACTGGTTTGACAACATGCCTTGTATGAACACTTTAAAATTTTATTTTTTTATAAAGTTGTTCACAATAATTCATTAATTTAATATTCAAACACCAATCCCAACACCATTGCACCTTCCCACCAACCATATTTTGAGTGTTTCACCCCAAATCCCAAGCCCTGCCCCCCAAAGCAGAACTGAAACAATTTTGTATTGCTTGTTATGAGCAATCCACTAGGTCAAATAAAGTTTCCTTAGAGGCATGTCCTTCTCTTCCAGAAGGGAGCATAACATGACACTTGCCATAACCATGCCGCCGGACCCCATTCCAGGCTGTTTCACTCGGGGTGCCCCTGAGGGGAGCGGGTGAGACCCCCCTCCCCTCCCCAAGGGACCCAGCCCTGACAGCCAAAAATTCCCAAAACTCAACTGCTGCCACACTCACGGACGCTTTCCACACATTCAGGCTGAGCCTCACCCATGAGTGAGCCTATTCCTGGATACTTCATACCACATACCACCCATACCCCAAGAGCACCGATTCACATTTGATGGGGTTCAAAGTAAAAGGCAACCAATCTTAGAGGGAAATATATATATATGTATATATGTATATATATATTACAGATACATATATATAAAAGCACACAACTCAACCTTTAACAACATGTTAGTGATCTCGTATAGAAGGGCTTAATGGTCCCTGGGTGAAATACAACAATCTTCACACTCTTTCCTCTAAGGATACTTTTTTGTAGCATTTTCAGCAGTTTTTCATAACTAACAATACAAAATATACTATTTTGGTTCTGCTTTGGGGCAAGGATTAGGGTTTGGGATGGAAACATTTGAAATATAGTGGTGAGAAGGTATAATGGTGGTGGAATTGGTGTTTGAATATTAAATGTAATCAAATATCGTGAACTACTTTATAAAAAAAATTTTTTTAAAGTTTCCTTAGAGGAAGGTGTGTGAAGATTGTTGTATTACATCCTGGAACCATTAAGCCCTTGTATAAGAGATTACTAATATGTTTGTTAAACCCAATCAAATGGTGTATGCTACTCTTGGTACGTACTTTTGGTACATCAGTGGTGCAGAGTCCGAGAGGAATTCTCCAGGAATTCTAAAATTTAGAATACAATTATACCTCAGATTCACTCATGAGTGAATCTCATCCAAGCCTATGGAGAGCAGCCGTGAGCATGGTGGTGATTGAGTTCTGAAGGTTTTCAGCTGCCAGGCTCTGTTGGGGCAGGGAGGGGCCTCACCCATCCCCCTCGGAGTTGCCCGGTAAAGACAGCCTGGCGTGG